CTTCTCGGGTGAATGCGTTGGGGGGCCGATGGACTGAAGAAGGGGGCGGGAAGAATAAGGAGGGTGGATGAGGCGGAAGGGCAGGGGCAGGAGGGACGGTTGAAATGACAGGCGTAGGGAGGAAGGGAGGGAGCAGTGCGGAGGGAGGAGGAGGGGAGGGAGGGAGGAGCGGATGGGAGCAGACAGAGAAGATGGAGCCAGAAACGCAAGGCACATGTGGAATGCGCGAAGGTGCCCCCGAATCGCCCGGAGAGCGGCCCAGAGAAAGGGCCCCTGCCCGCCCCAACCGAGCCGACATCCCACCGACCCTCTGGGCGCGAAGGTGGGCAATCCAGGTGTTTGGGGATGGGTGTAGCCCTCCTCCGAAGACCCTACGCCAGACGACCACCACCTCCCCGCCTTACGAAACCTCCCAGGAGCCTCTTCGGGGGAGGGGTTCGCCCTCCCCGAGGAGAAGGCGGAGGAGGAGGGAGGAGCAGGAGAGGGGGGAGGGGGAGGAGGAGGAAGAGGAGGGAGGGATGAGGGAGGGGGGAGGGCGAGGAGGAGGAGGAGGAGTAGGAGGAAGAGAAGGAGGAGGAGGAGGAGGAGGAGGAGGAGGAGGAGGAGGGGGAGGAGGAGGAGGAAAGGAGGTGCCCCTCTTGAAGCCCTGCTGCGGGCCTAGAAGGGGGCCTCGGGCAGCCTCGTGGGGCAGAGCTGACGAACAAGACGCTGGGCACGGCTTGCCTTTTCGAAGTTTGGGCGGCCTTGAAGCACTCTGGAGGCCCTCCAATGAAGTCCGTCTAAAAACCCGTGGTGCGTTTTCGGGCCAGTCCTGGCTCCGTCTTCGGGCTCCCTTGGGACCCTCACGAGGCCACTTTAGGTCTCGAAAGCCCTTCGGATTGGCCTCACCCGTGTGTGTGTGTGTGTGTGTGGTGGACGGTGCTGGGCTGTCGGGGTCCCTCTCAGCGCTGCCTTGGGGCCATGTGGATCGAACTGGGAGTCACTCGGTGGGGCGCCTGGTACCGCCTCGGAGTCCGCCATCAGTCGCCCAGAGGGGTCCGCCCGCCTCGTTGGGGGAAGTCCTCCCTCTGGGTCTCGACGCAGGGGGGGCGGGGCCCATAGCAGTGCCCAAGATGGCCCAGCAGGGCCGCGAGAGGGCGCGAGGTGGTAGCCTAAAATGGCGTCAACGATGGCGCGACACAGCCCAACAGGTGTCAACACAACGTCCGACATGCCTCAATCTCGTCACAAGATGGCTCCGAATGATGAAACCAGCAAGAGTCTGCGATCCCGTCAGCCAAGCCCACTCGGCTTACTAATACGTTCAGAAACAAATAGCCCGCATCACGCCGCAACTATTGATATCGATGCACGGAATCGACATGTCACCACCGTCGCCCATCCTCATCGTCGTCGTCATCAACACCATCAGCAGCAGCATCATCATCAGCATCAGCATCATCAGCATCATCATCAACACCATCAACGTCATACATATCATCATCAACATCCACATACGCATCAGCATAGAATCCGCGTCATCAGCATCAGCATCATCATCTACATCATCTGTAACATCAGCTTCAGCATCAGCAGCATCACCATCATCAGCATCACCATCATCAGCATCATCAGCATCGCCATCATCAGCATCATCATCATTATCGCCATCGCCATCGTCATCGTCAGCATCACCATCACCATCACCATCGGCAGGATCATCATCATCACCATCATCGTCGGCATCAGCATTATCATCATCATCATCAGCATCATCATCATCATCATCATCATCATCAACATCACCATCATCAGCATCATCAACAATATCAGCCTCATCAGACTCATCCGCATCAACATCAGCATCACCATCAGCAACAGCATCAATACCAGCATCTCATCATCGACATCGGCACAATCATCATACTCAGCATCATCATCATCATCATCATCATCATCATCAACATCATCATCATCATCATCAGCATCATCATCATCAACATCAACATCATCAACATGATCAGACCCATCGTCATCACCATGACCATCATCAGCACCATCAACATCATCGTCATCATCATCGTCATCATCATCATCATCATCATCATCATCATCCTCGCATGCATCGACACCCTCGTTGCCGCCGTCGCCAACAGCGCTTGATTACAAGCAATTAAGAAACTCCCCCCCCTTCTCCAACAAAAGTATAACGCACCCGGCACCCCAGAAGCGTGACCCTGGCACCTCGCACCTTTATGTGAACGCAGGCGAGTCTGCTCGCCGAAACAAGCAAACCACCTGAGACATTCTCGCAATATGATCTCCTTGTGGTTCTGAAACAAGCGCCTCGCCTGAGACATCCTCAGAAAGTGCTCTGGACGCAGACGAGTCTGCGTCATGTGGTCGGTCTGGGCGAGAACTGGAGTGGCCGCGCGTCTTCCCAGCGCTCGGCCATCCGAGCAGAGTCCTCTTCCTCTTCCTCTTCGTCCTTCTCAGGGGTCCTCCTCCTCCTATTCCTCCTCATCAGGGGTCCTCCTCCTCTTCCTCCTCCTCCTCCCCCCCGTCGCCATTTTGGCTCTCATCCGCCATTACGGATCAAGCCAAGGGCCATTGCCTCAATCAAGAGGCCTTGGCCCAACTAAACAGAAAAAATCCTCCGCCTCCTCCTCAAGACTCCCTTACGGCACGGCACCAACACGAACAATGACAATAATGCCAACAATAAGAATTATATCTAGAACAACAGGGCCAATAACAACAGCACCAACAACAACATCAACATACAAAAAACACCAACAACACCGCCAACACCAACAATAACAACATTAAATCCCACGCAAGAGAGAGCCCAGCTTTGACAAGGAGCCGTCCGCACCTACGATGGGGGGGGATAATTTTGGCGGCGCGGGTGCTAGGATAACGCGCCGTGCGTGGCGGGGGCGATATCCTCGGATACACATTACCCCGCACGACGGCCGGGACTCAACAATCTTTCAATACGGGTAGTACTAAGAATCGTATAGGACAAAGATGATGCAGAACATGAGAAAAAGGAGGGAGGGCGGAAATAAGCAGGGGAGCCCGTCTGTTTTCGAATGTTTACTATTATTATTTTCCCTACTCTTAGTCGTATTATGATTACCATTATTAATATTACTCTTATCATTAAGTGTATTAGTAGTCTTGGTCTGATTGAACTTCTAACTATTTTGTGCGGGTGCGGTGCTAAGATGACGCGCCGTGCGAGGCGGGGGCGATATCCTCGGATGCACTGCCCCACGCGACGGCCAGGAACAACCACTTTTTTTCAACAGGGGTGGTAATACAAATCGTATAGGACAAGGGTGATGAAGAGACTGAGAAACAGCTTTGATTATTATGGGTATTATCATTTTAATGGTTCGCCTCATTCAAATTGTATTATTATTATTCTGATTATTGTTCTTATTAGTATTATTATTAGTATTTGGATTGTGGGTATGATTATTTTTATTCTTAGTTTGGACTCTTATTATTACTCGCATTCTGATGTTTTGCATTATTATTCTTACGCTTGTCATTATTCATGATACTATTTTCTTACGAGTAGTATTATTAGTTTCTCGTATTATTCATATTCTTAATACAATTATTAGTATTATTATAGATATTATGATTATGTTAGTGTTACTCGTATTATTTCGCGTAGTGTTATTATTATTGTTATTACTTTTTATTATTCTTACTCAAACAATTATTCATAATAATAGTATTATTATTGATCTGAATAGGTTTCGTGTTTTCACTATTATTCGGATTATGTTTGCTGTGTTCATTAGTACCGATCGTATCAATACTCTTGTATATTCTTACTACGATTACTCTTACTCTTATCCGTATTCTTAGTATTCTTGTTATTCGCATTTCACTCGTATTCTTCTTCCAATTCCAATTGGGATACCACCCGAGTCAGGGCGCGGGAATTATTTATGTTCGTTCCATTTGCGCAGTGCTAATCATATCGTTCGGCGAAAACCGCCCCCCATAATTATTTGATTACGGCGCTGTGCTAAAGATAACCCCGGGGGGGTCCTTAAAATGGCTTGACTGAGGCTACCGCATCCACCCGCGCAGCGCAAGAACACGCGACAGCCATCGGACCCACCACCCATGTCCGAGGAGGGGGCCGAGACCGCCCAAGAGGGCCCCAATGGGCCCCCAATGCGACCTCCACACACAACCAAAAGACCTCCAAGACGGCCCTGCGCCTCATAGAATTGTCCTTTGAGGGCAACGGTTAAGCTCTAGAGTAACATCAGGCGCACTGATGGGCTTGTTGTCAAACCAAAGCCTCGATGACACAATGTGGCTTGTGTTGCCAGTTCAAAGGAACTGTTTGCCGAGAATTCTCGAATTGACGATTCGTTTGTGCTCTAATCTTCTCTTGACGACCAGCAACTTCAACGATATGAAGGATAAACACTGGTGCAACAGAAACTCGCACTGCTAACATTTTGTGTGCATGATGACGGCTTGGTGCTCCAATGCCGAGCTACAGGCAAGCAGTGGATTTGATACGTTCAGCACTGTGTCCATATTCATCATGTGCGACGTTCCACAATCATTAGAAGCATGATGCGAAATCAATATGAACCTCTACTCTTAGAAAACTGGTCCAATACCGAACAACGAATGAGATACTCTGGATGGTTCAATACCATGATCTCGAGCTACAGGCCAGCTACGGAGCCGATTGCTTCAGAGATGACGCCAGAAGCGCCACGCGCAACTTTCTACTGTCAATATAGACCTGATACTGGTGAAAACTCGTTCGCTCTTCATCGTTCGCAAGATGCTGCACTACTGCGACAACTGAGATGCATCCCGGTTGGTTTGACGTCGTGGTCTTGAGCTACAGGATAGCAACGGAACTGATGATTTCAGCATTGACCCCAGAGGGGCCAGGCGCATCCCTTACAACCACCTGTGGCCTGACGTGTACGAGCTGATCTCCGAGCACCGCATGCACGCAAGGGTTCTTG